CTAGACACAAGTCATTTGCACATTGCTTGGACAAAAAGATCCACAAGTTAACATGTAACTTTAGAGTCTGACTTTTAATTGGTAAGAAAGTGAACATTGAAAAGAAGTGCAGCCCTGGCCGGTTTGGCTCAGTGGTTAGAGCGTCGGCCTGCGGTCCGGAGAGACCTGGGTTCAGTTCCCGCTAAGGGCACGTACCTTGGTTGCAGTTTGTCCCCGATCCTGGTTGGGTCGTGTGGGTGGCAACCACTCAATGTGTCGCTTTCACGTCGATGTTTCTCTCTCTCTCCCTCCCACTCTATCTGAACAAAATATCGAAAAATGTCCTCGGGTGAGGATAAAAAAAAAAAAAGAAAAGAAGTGCATTCCCTAGTAAATTCAATAATCATTTTTAGGTCTGTTACGCAATGTCTAAAACAGCATGAAAAGCACATGCTGGCTTCTCTTGGCCTTTTTCCACATTTCAGGTACTATTTTCTTAACAAAGACATAGAGAAGAACACAGAGTAAAGAACATGGCACTGGGGAAGTGGGTCATGGAGCAGCCCCATTTACTGGAGCTCCAGAACCATTTCCAGAGCTCACCCACTACTTCTCACCCCTGCACAGCCCCCACTGCATAGGGTGCAGGTGGAGTCGGTGGTCACTTCATATACTCTGGCATTATTATGGTCACCATCTGTCCAAGGTCATGACTTTCTGCCTCTGATTCTTTTGGTGACACTAGAAACGCCTCTACCAAGTCGAAATGTAGCAACCACAGAAGGGAAAATCTCTCCTCCTAGAGTACACATGGGGAATAACTCTGCAAACCCACGCCTACAGTTCCCAGTACCAACAGGACCCTGAAAGTCATACAGTCCTGACTATTCCTCAGGTCATGGTGAGCACACCAGGGGTAGGTTCAGTGGTAAAGGTGCCATAAATAGAAACTGGCACAGCTGGGAAAGGATTGACGTCATCTGAAACCAGGAACAGGCAGCACTCCCTGCATAGCCCACTGCAGTTCTAAGGCCCTGAGCTCCCTGCTGCTATTATCCATGTGGTCCCCATAGTGCCCTCCTTGGTCTTGGTAGGCCTCTGCCTCTGACCACATTTCCTACTTCACAGCCCAGGTTAAGAGCTAAATGGATTATTTATTCTCACACACAGTATATCAATGGGTAGCACCAGGTCGAAAGGCCACATGTTCCTGAAAAGATAGGGTGAGGACAGAGGGCTAGGCCCCCTTGTACTGGGCAACATTAGAGGCCACATAGCTTGTCTGTCATGGCCCATTTCCTTTACATCTGTAGTATCCTACTACTCCAGTGCTCTTTTATCCCAAATGGAGACAGACAGTACTTGAGGTCCAGGGCCCACTGGGAGGGCTTCTGGAGAAACTAGCAGAAGCTACAAATCCTATTGTTACCAGAGCATTGCCTGAATCAGAGGGGACTCTCCCCTCCTCTACTCTTGTCATGCTCACAAGAAATAATTCAAACAAATGACAAAGCGGTGTTGAAGCAAAGCAAGCAAATTTACTAAAAATACATTTTATATAAAGCATAGTCTCTATGCTAGTCTGAGTGCACCACCTGGTAGGAGTTGAAGGGTTTTATACCTCTTTCCACTATTGGTTTCAAGGTTCCCCTGCAAGATATATGAGATTTCAAGGTTCCCTTGTACATTGTTGTAGCTTTTCTCAGAATTTATGAGAACGTCCGACGATTTTATCTTGGCAAGTCCCAAGACTAACTTCTTTGTTCAGTGGGTGAGATAAACTCCCCTTTTACCTTTTCCTTCCTCCTGCCTTAGCAGTTATCTTTCCTGCCTAAATTTCCCACTCAAGTGATATCATCAAAATACTTTTGAGATTTTGTTATTTGTCCCCAGAGACTTCATCTGTCCTTGGGTTTAGCTGGCACAAATGACATTAATTGGGTCTTTGTTCTCTATTTTCCCAGGCCAGGGTGATCTAAGCTCTAGTTAGGGAGGAGAGGTATAAACAATTTGCTCTCCAGTGTCCTTTGTTGGGGACAATAAGTTCTTACAATTCACAGGCTGGCTGCAAGCTGCCTAAAGTGTTTGGCCTTATTTAATTTTTTGTCTCAGATTCCCCACTTTACTTGCCCTGGAATTTTCCCAGCTTCTTACTCTCCTACCACACTATTTCAGGGGCTCTCCTCTTTCCTTCTCCGAGAGAGAGAGAGAGAGAGAGAGAGAGAGAGAGAGAGAATGAGCACTCATGTAACTTAACAAAATAAACATGAAATCCAGCAAGAAGAAAGTGAGGCTTGCCTTGCATTTTATTTCATGTTTAGACACAGAAAATGAAAGATATTTGGAGAGATAGGTTGTAAAGAGATGAGGTTAAAAGAAATAAAATGTAAGTTAAATATACTTAAAAATAGACCCCTACATGTAAACACATGCACAGCATGTCTCTGGACCCATGTAGGATACAAACATGCACAGAGTACATGAAGGCAGTCACCCCCAACTCCAGGCTGGCCCCTCACTGTTTGAGGCCTTTTTGCTCCAGCATCTGATTCCTTGTGGTTCCCACCCAACTATGCACAAGGAAGGACAGTCTCAAGATATTGATTCAAGAATATAATCTTTCCTAAGGAACTTACATGTGCCTTATACTATCTCACAGACAGAAAAGACCCACAGAGCTGTTAATTGACTCAGGTCCTGCAAGCCCTTCAAACGCTTGGTGTAGGTCTGCTGCTCCTACATGAGGCATTGCATCAGTGTGTCTAGAGAGGCATTTTTTTAATGCAGCCCACCTGGCTCACAGAAAGGAAAAATTTTAAATTAGTATTAGGGTATTAGGTCCAAGTAATGTAAAAATCTGTTTCAGATCCAAATCCTGGCTCCTTTGTTACGAAAGGATCTTGGGAGGGAGAAGAAAGAATCAGAGAAGGCTGATGGGGGCAAGAGGGAGTGGAGGTAACTGGAGAAAAAGGAAAGGTTTACAAAGTGAATACCACTTGTCTCCTGCCACCCCAAATGGTGTGGTGTCCCTAACTATGTAACATCTCTTGGCTAAATCAGAGGAACCAGAGACAAAATTAATGACCTTTGAGTTTCATGGCCTCATCTGTCTGGGGCAGAAATAGTGAAATACCCACCACCTACCAGGTCCTGTGAAAGAAAACTTGGCTCAAGCACATTTGAAATACATTTGGTATGCCCTGGCCGGTTTGGCTCAACAGTTAGAGGTGGGCCTGTTGTCCAGAGAGACCTAGGTCCGGTTCCCACCAAAGGAATATACCTCAGTTGCAGTTTGTCCCCAGCCCTGGTTGTGTTGTATGGGTGGCAACCACTCGATTTGTCCCTTTCACGTTGATGTCTCTCTCTCTCCCCCTCCCACTCTATCTGAACAAAAAATGGAAAAATGTCCTCAGGTAAGGATAAAAAATAAAGAAAAGAAATACATTTGGCCTCCTGAATTGTACCCAACACCACATTTAAAACAATCACATTTATTTTTTTTAGTAATTTTTTTAGTAGATTAGTGTAGTTTAAATACATATCAAATTTACCATCTTAACCATTTTTAAATGTACAATTTGGTAGTATTAAGTATATTCACATTGTTGTGCAAGTAATCTTCAGAATGTTGTTATGTTGCAAAACTAAAACTCTGGACCCATTAGATAATTCTCCACTAGACACACTTTTTTTTTTTACAATAATCATGTTTATTAATATTTTGTCATGTGTGTTTTATATGCCTATCTCTAAAGATATATAGATATATTTTTTCAGAACCTTTTAAAAGTAAATTGTAGATATCAGGCCACTTAATCCTGGATACTTCAGTATACATCTTCTCAGAATAAGAACTTTTTTGCTTTTTAACCATAATACTTTCTATATAATCACATGTAGAAAATTTAACAATTAACTAGTATTATCTAATATGCAACCCATATTCAAAATGTATTAATTGTCCCAAAATATCTTATTGCTATTTGATTTTTAAACCAAAGTTCACTCAAGATTAGTGTAGTTTAATTTGGTTGTTACAATTCTTTAATCTTTTAATTTAAAACAGCTCTTTTACTTTTTTATTATTATTATTATTATTATTTAACCTCATCTGAGGACATTTTTCGATATTTTGTTCAGATAGAGTGGGAGAAAGAGAGAGAGAGAGAAACATCGACATGAAAGGGACACATCGAGTGTTTGCCAACTGCATGACCCAACCAGGGCCAGGGACAAACTGCAACCAAGGTACATGCCCTTAGCGGAAACCGAACCACAGGCCGACACTCTAACCATTGAGCTAAACCATCTAGGACTTTTTCCTGTTTTTAATGATTATTTTCTTCAAGAGAGTTTTATCTCCTACTGTCACGCATGTGTGCCTACCTTCTTCTCTCCATTCCCCTTTCCACATACATGCATGCACACACATATACCCACCCACAGACACATGTGAATAATGCAGCTCACTCTCAAGACTTTACTGCCTTCACCTCTCTCTATATATATCCACTATTGACATTTACATAAGAAAAAAGAAACACAAATTACTGCAATTCACAGATACTCCACAGGGGACAACTGCTTCTGCCAAGGGGTCTCTGAGCCCAGGTGATCCATTCACTCAGGGGAAAGGGCAGTGAAGGAGCCTCATGCCCCAAAGACTTCCAAAAGGAACACATTGAGTTAGCACCCACTGGGTTCACACCTCTGTAAAGGGTTTTTACCCAATCAAAAAGTGATTCCTCCTCAGACTTGCAGTAGGGGGCAGAATTAGACCTCACTCCATCCTTTGTACTCAGTGACAAAGTTATTCTTGCTGGTGGGCCATCAGGCTGGCTAAAGGCAAGGGGCCCCCCTGAAGCCAGGAAGGAGTAATTAGACATGCCCATCTTTTGTTACCACCTAATATGAAATTAGAAAACAAAATGGCAAGCAAAGAAGCATTCATGAGGAAAGCATGTTGCAAACGATTATTTTCAGAGAAAGGCAGAGGTGGGGGGGATGTACTCCAGAACACCCTAGGTATCTCCACACTGCATCTTCATCACGGTGAAATCACCATTCCAGGGGAGCGCTCCAACTAAAAAGTTGCACGTTACTTTCTGAAAAAGACCAGCACCACACAAAAAAAATCAGTAGTGTGCCAAGAGAAAGAGAAAAAAAAATTCTCCTGCTGCTAGATATCAGCTTAGAAATATACTGGATGATGGTCATTATCTATAAAGAAATGCTTCCAGGAATCTGCTAGCTGATTGCTGCAAACTTTTACAGTGATCAGCAAGTGCTGATGACTTCGGAGGAATCTCTGTTTCCATGCAATCATTAGCCAGCAAATACTAATGATCATTATATTTTGGTAGAAGCTCATATGTAAACTTCATTTTATTTTTAATCTTCTATAATATTGTTTACAATATAAATAAAAAAGTGCTATGTCAGATTAAACTAATGTATGTTGCATTAATAATTAAATAATGCCTTTTGTTCTAATAACAAATAAGTCAGGATAAGAGCAATTTAGAAGGTTCTAGGGCCTAACATAAGTTTTATTTCAAAGAGAACTTCTCTCCCTTTTAAAATACCTTTGAAATAAAATATTATATCTGTGTATAATAGATGGATAAATGAGTAGATATGAGACAGGTTAGTAAGTCAGCACAAGTGAGATATCTGAAAAAACTGGCAGAGCAATTTACAGCAGATACAGAAGGTCACCTCCCTAGAAATAGCATCTAGGCCTCAGTTGTATTTCAGCTCCAGACCCAGAAAAGCAGCAAAACCAGGTGGACAACACCAAGACCAGCTACAATGACTAATCACCCCCTGCCCTGACACTGACCAAAGTGAAGACCATGACCCTTAAGAAGCACACCTAGAAAACAGATGAATATTCTGTTGAAACCCTCTCCTGAGACTTCCCCTAAGATTTCCTGACTGCAAGAGAGAAATAAAAGCCTCAGGAAAAAGGACCCAGTGTGCTTTCTTTCCCAGCAGCATGGCCATAGGCATGCATCTTCTAAACTCTAAGGGTTCCCACAAGGCTTGGAACCAAGGCAACAATGGAAAATGGCAGTTCATCCCAGACAAACCTGGAGTCATGTTGTGAAACTTTTCCTGCACAAAGTCAAGAACCCATACACTACCAGCATGGCCCTAGGCAGACCAGCCCAGGGCCAGGTCCCCTTTTCAGTAACAAATAAAGGGCTGAATAGGTGGATGGATGAATAAATAGGTCAAGGGATGCATGAATGAGTACATAGATAAATGCATACATGAATAGCTATAGATAATTAGATAGATGGCAGGTGGGTAGATAAATACATAGATAATAGATAGATGATAGATAGATAGATAGATAGATAGATAGATAGATAGATAGATAGATGATAGATAGATAGTGACAGGCAGGTAGAAGTTCTGGAAAACAGTAAAAGGTATCTTAAATAATTGACTGGAAACATAGAGGTACTTTCAGGAGCCATGAGTCCAATGGAGTCAAAGAGAAGGAAAGTTGATCTGTGCTGAGTATTAGACACATGTAAAAGAGGACAATGAAGGCCTCTTTTCCCCACAGGCCCACAAAAAATACCAAATCAAGATAACTTTATAGGCAAATTACATCAGAACTAGGGAAACAAAAGCTCTCTTAGTTTTTAAACTGATTCAGAATTCAGAAAAAGATGGAAAGCCTCCATTCTTATTACAGCAGAGCAGACAAATCTGCTGAAACAATATTGTAAGCCAAGCTGCTGGTTCCAAAACCTATAGAAGCAGTATCACCAGCAAACTTAAAAAATGGCATTAAGACATTCTTACTACTTAAATGTTTGTCCGAGTAAATAGAACAAAAGTGCTTTAAAAAAATATTAGGGCCCTGGCTCGGAGACTCAGTTGGTTGGAGCATCATCCCGTACACCATAAAGGTTGTGGTTGGATTCCAGGTAAGGGTACATACTTAGGTTTCAGGTTTGATCCCAAGTTTAGTTGTGCATGGGAGGTAGCCAATCTGTGTTTCTCTCTCCTGTCCATGTTTCTCTCTCTGTCTCTCTCTCTCTAAAATCAATAAACATATTCTCCAGTGAGGATTAAAAACAAATTCTAGCAAGTTAAGCAATTACTGATAGCTAGAGGCTTCAGACTTTTACACCTCTAATGCAGTGCTTCTCAGACTTTCTCAGTGATATAAAATATATGTGGGTGTCTGTACCTTGAAATTTGATCCAGTAGGTTTAGGATGAGTAGATGGAATGGGTCTCCATGTGTAAATGTGTGTCCGTGTGTTCGTGTACTTCATCCTTTGAAGATTCTTAACATTAGGGAAGTTTGAGAGTACTTAACATATATAAAAGCAAAAGTCCTAAATAAAAAGTGGAATATTGAATCCCACTGCATTCTAGCAGATCAGTGCAGACACAATCCATCACACTCTTTCTTTCCAACCTATGGCCAGCAAAAGGGCTGCAACAAAGAAAGGTGGTAGGAAGGAGAAGCTGTCTGCCATCAATGTGGTGGTAGCTAAGAAAACACCATCAGTGTTTACAAGCACCTTGGTGGAGTAGCCTTCAAGAAGTGCACACCCTCCCCCACCCTAGCACTCAGAGAGCTGGAAATTTTCTGTCAAAGAGATAAAAATGTCAGATGTGCCCATCAACACCAGGGTCAGCAAAACTGTCAGAATCAAAGGAATAAGAAATATCCCACACCATATTCTATATGTAGTTATCCAGAAAATGTATCTACTTTGTTAGCTATGTACCTGTCACCATTTTCAAAAACCTACGGTCAGTCAATGAGGATGAGAACTAATAATCAAATAAAGTTTTAAAGCCACACACAAAAATAACAAGTGTACCATAGTCCAGACATGTAAGAATAACTCAATACTAGGGAACCTATTATTTTAGTTTATAACACTAATGGTTCAAAGAAGAAAAGTTATTCAGTATACTTGGTAGATGCTGAAAGAATAATTGATAGAAGAAAATATTCTTAATTTTTAAAATAACACTTCATAAAGTGGGAATTGAAGGAACTTCCAAATTTAGCATTTACATAATATTTAATACAGAATTTAAATACCGAAAGTATTACTATTAAAGTGGGAATAAGAATAATTGTTTGACATTATAACTCTTCAGCATTATTCCAAAGGCTTAGAAAGAAAGTTTTTAGTGTTGATAAATGCATGCTTAAAAACATGTACCTTAAAACTGAGATTGTCCATGAAAACCTTAGATAGTATAAGTGAGCTTTTTGAGAAGAAAAAAAACCTCCTTAATTATCTTTAATATTTTCTACAAACAGGTAAAAACAACTTTCAATATAACTCCAATAAGCCCAGTATAAAATATATATTTAAACTGACTATAATTCTACTAACAAAACTAACATAAAAGATCAGATGGCATTAAGACATGCTCATTGCTTAAATGTTTGTCCTGATGGGTATCTACTATTAACTAGAAACGATTGAACTTGTTCAGTTTGAGCACACAGAGATAGTTTCAGACATAATGGGAATGTACTTTGTTAGCAGGCCTTTGCAATTTCCTGTACTCAATGACAGAAGCAGCAGCATCACCTGGGAACTTGTCCAAGAATACACATTCTTAGATCCCATTCCAGACCAATGAATCAGAAACTCTGCAGGTAGAACACAGCCATCTGGGTTTATTAAGGTTGTCAGGTCATTCTGATGCCCACTCATGTGGAGAACCACTGGTATAAACAATGGGGCGAAAACACTCCTCTTAGGCAAAACTCAGGGGCTTTCATCAATATCAGACTAAACACTTAGATAAATCCAGTGCTCTCCTCACCTCTGAAATACAAAATAGAAGCCTGAGGCCAAAGGCCCTGGGCCAAGTCAGCCCTTTGGTGGGAGTCATTGGACCTTCATAGAAACTACGGCTGAGCTTAGCAAGAATCAACTCTAAGCCTGGGATGGGAACACCGTCTGGCCTAGTCACTACTTAATCTTCAGTACCCAGAATAGCACCTGGTGCAAGTAAGCTTAAATCAATAGATTAGTGATTAAACAAGTTTCCGTTTGTGTCTTCATGAGGATGAACAGTTAGACCAGTAACAGCCTAGTAGCTCATTCAGGTCCAAGAGAGTAGACTTTCAATAAATATGCATTGGCAAGTTTTGCTGTACCAACAGGCCAGAGCTGATGGAGCCCTTGAAATAACAGTGACTTTGACAGCTGTCCGAAGGATAAAGTGTGAGGAAAGACTCAGAGAGGTCCAACACATGCTGCTGCCCTACATTCTCCACTCTAAATGCCACAGGGTTGACCACTTTGGGGGCTAAACATTGAGAGTGAACCAAAAACTACTTGGATCTCAAAAAGAGAGTCTGAGTACCCCAAGTTATTCTGGCTTGGGCTCAGAGTAGCCAAAACCATCACAGCCAGTTGGTTTGTCACTTACTTTTTCCAGTTTGGAATTTTCTTGAATGACACAATTTTCATTATTGTTTGAAAGCTTTCTGCAATTGCTGCGGGCAAGTTCAACATCAATGAAGTATTCCAAATGATCTGTGACCTGTCAATCAGCAATTATAACAATTGTGCAATTTTATTCAAAAAGTTGTATTTTACTTTTAAAAAGTTTTGGCAAACACTAAAAAATTGCTCTCACTTTCATCCTATTTCTCTATCTGTTGTGGTCTTTCTCCAATCATGTCCACTGCTTGGATTTCTTTGCACACTGATACCAGTTATGCAGGCCTACCGGGAGCTGGATACTCAGGGAAAAGGTTCCTTCCCAGTGTGGGGCATTCTAGAAGGCAAGGCATTCTAATTTCATTTTTTGTTCCATGGTCAGTGAAGGGTTAAGGGGAGAGAAACTGAAGTCACCAGGACCATAAACTCCTCTGAGCCCAAGATGTTACATATTCATGTGGGCCAGATGGGAGGACAGACACTTCAGCCACATTGGACATCCTCCCTGGTTCTTTTTCTGTACAACACACCCCACAGGTTCTGTTATCTGATTAAATCCCCTGCCCCTTGAAGCTTTTCCACCCAAGGCCCCTCCCAACACTTCAGCAAACAGTCCTTAAGGAGCCATGCCAAAAGAGTGTTTAGCAAGGAGTGCAGCAATAGATTTGTAGCAAGGAATCAGCAATTACTGAATTCATAAATGAAAAACATCACAGCAGGAGATGAAAAGGAGTATCTGCAACTTGGTTCCAGCTTCCCTAGACGCCACTTTTTCTTTATTGCCATCTCCAAGCCTTGATAAATTTGTATTAAATTTTTACTGTGTTCCAAAGAATTAACAAGGGAGACTCAGGCCTTTCAGGGAGAAGCTGGTTAGACAACATCAAGAAGTGACCAACAGAGCTGCCCTTAGGTTTGGAAATTAAGTTTCTATTTAAAGAACCTCAAAAATAGCATGGAGGTGAACCTGATCATCAGCAGGACTTCCTATTAGTCTTAGTATATACTAACCTTCACCAGTGCTCACTCTCTGGCACACACTATTCCCAGGGCTTTGCACACAATAACCCAGTTAACACACACACCAAACCTTCCATGGTAAGTCTGTTGTTTCCATATTTTCTTTGTAAAAAAACTGAGGCACAGAGGCACTAAGTAACTATCCATCTAGCAATCAGACAACCCAGCGCTCAAACAAGGTGTCCTCGCATGAGAACTAGTATCCCAAACCACCATGCTCACTCCTCTCTTGTTTCTGCCCACTCTTCTTGTCCAGCCAGAGAAAGGCATAGGATTGCTATGTGGTGATTCCTGGGAATCATGAACCTGAACTGTTGGAAAGCTGGGAGCCATCCAGTTAGTTACATGGACACCTTTACTGAATCTGCATAACCTCTTTCTAAATATAAGTTAACTAGAAGGACAGTTTTAAAACCCAAATCGAATGAGATGGATTCTGAGAACTCTCAGAACTCATGTTTGTCTGTCTTTCTAGTGCTCATAAAATAAAGTAAAAGTCTTGCCTATGGCCTACAAGGACAGACATGGTGGTCCCTGTTTACTTCCTAGCCAGTCACACTGGCTCCTGAGACCAGGGTTGCACCTAGAGACCCTCATTTAACTGATGAGCGTGCAGTAGGACATTAAGCTTCTCAGGTGAGAAATGCTATTTAAAGAAGTCGTCCTCTGACACCAAGACCTTGTCTGTGTTCCATGCCACTGGAACAAACATCACAGCTCTCATTCCTGGTTTAGCAATTTTTTCTTTCTAACTCAATTGCTGGCTCCCTAAAGGCTGTGATCATTTCTATCCATCTCACAGCCCCATCTACAGTGGCTAGCATAGAAGTGGCTTGGGAGAAACTTGCTAAATATGTTTTCTACTTGGGTACCAAAAGAAAAAACAAACTGAAGAAGACTAGAGAAATTACAAGGCTTAGGATCCATTTCTTTATCTCAAAATGCCACAAAAATGTGCCTCCAGGTGGACTGTGGCACGTTCCCAATCAATAAAACTGCTGCACCATCAGTGTAACATTCTGTAAATATTGTGCTCATGGCTCTCATGTTCCCAAGAAATGGGCTCCTAAGTACCAACATGGTAAGTGGCCCAGCTCCTGCAAACAGAAACAGATTGGAAAGTATAAAAACTAAAATAAGCTCTGCCAACAATGACCTGTCATTTTCAATTTATTCTCGCAAGTTGCATGGTGCAAATACAAGCCTGAATTATAAGGCTGAATTTCAACACTGAGAGCCTTTTCTCAATCATGGCACCAAGGCCACATGTTGGAAACTCCAGGGAGCATCACCTACACTGGAATCCAAGTCAGCAACATTTCTTAGTGTTGGGCAAATTCATGGTCTTATGAGGACAGATGCATTTCTATAAACAGAAAATCATAATGTCTCCACTTCCATTAAAATGTTGGGTTAGTCCGGCTGGATTGGCTCAGTGGTTGAGCTTCGACCCATGCACCAAGAAGTCGCTGGTTGGATTCCCGGTCAGGACACATGCCAAGGTTGTGGGCCAAATCCCCAGTGGGGGGCATGCAGGAGATGGCCAATCAATGTTCTCTCTCATCAATGTTTCTATCTCCCTCTCCCTCTCACTTCCTCTCTCTTCTAAAATCAGTGAAGGAAAAAAAAAATGTTGGGTTAAAAGCATTAAAGAATATAGGAAGAGGCACTTTATCAGTCTATCTATTAGTATGCCATGTGTCTCTTTCAACTCCACACTCCATGTTATGTGGCTATGTTGAAATGCTGCCCGTGGCAGCATTATTGCCAAATATTCATGCTGCTCAATCTCCCAGTAACCTTAGCAAATACAAATAATTAGCATTTGGTTTGTAGTTTTGGATTTAAATAAGTTACTATGTAAAGTACTTAGAATGACAATCCAAGAATATATAGAAAATGCACTAATGTTATAGTAACGTGCAAATGTACATGTGCTTAAGCACTTACATATTTAAGATTTTCATTTATCAGTGTTTTTATCATAAGCCCAATCTTTCACACTGGCTTTTCCGTCTGTACCACCATATGTAAATATGCATAGTAAAAGAGAACACCTTTACCTGCAGCTGGACTCGCACTATCTTGACCACCTGCAAGATATACTTATCTTCACTCTCTTTGTTGTACTCTTGCATGGCAATCCACAGACACTGTTTCACGTTGAAATTCGAGGCATCAATAACTTTTAATTCCCTTAGAACCTTGACCTTATTCTTCTCTGGGTCTGTGCTGGCCATGAAGGTCACCAAAAGGGTAAGCAGGAGCAGGAAGGACCCACAGAGACTTGTCATGGTCCTTCCATCCAGGGGCACAGGTAAGCCTCTTTGTCCTCTCAGGGCTGGAGGTGTAGGCGAGGTATGGTGACCACTGCTGCTGCTACAGGTTCAAAGATTTTACCACAACAGCATCAGCCCAGTTTGATTCAAGACAGAGCCCTTAGGGTCACCCATAGGTCTACCCTTGTCCTCTAAGGAAATCCACCCACAATAACCCATGAGGAGTCTCTGCTCCCAGGCATCTGCCCCCTTATCCAGGGTGTGATCTGTGGTTTCAGGGAGAGCACTTAGCCCAGATGTGCCAGTACCTACCCCGTGTGTCTCACCACCTACTCTTGCTTGTGTGTTTCAGGCCTACAACATGAGACAGTTAAAGTGTTTTGCTGCCCTAAGAGTTCCTGGTCCAATCCTCAGTGGACTTTCCAACCTGCCCCACTGCCAGCTGCTCCTTCCTTCTTGTGGAGCCAGACTCTGACCCAGGTGCCAGCTCGTGGTTCTCCTGAATCTCCAGCACTCTCAGCTTGCACATGTATGCTGGTCTGAGGCCTCCCTCACTCCTGATCTTGGGTTTCTCTTCATTTCTGAGTCCATGCCCCTGAGGGAGGTCACACTTTGTGATGTAATCTAGCACTTGTGACCCTGCCTCAGGGAGGGCACCTCTAGCATGCCAGCCACTGACCTTCAGTCCAGGCAAACACCTCCTGTTTTTGCCCTCAGAGTGGCGGCCCCAAAAAGTCTGCTCACCTGTGCCATGACCCTAGCTTTCTAAATGTTGGGCCTCTGGAATACCTTTGGCCCAATAGCTCCTCTCCACTGTCCTGCCAGGGAGCAGGTAACACAGCCCACCCTATGGGGCACACACACTTTCTGGGCTCTCAGAAATTCTGTTTCTCTGAAAATCTCAAATTGGTGTCCAGCAAATTACTGGAAAGACAGATAGGTGGGCTTCAGTTCCAGGGTGCAAAAATTAATGAACTCTTGACCATGAGAAGGGGTAGTGTGTAGGAAACAACAGATAGGCATGAATCTGCTAGGCAGGCTATAGAAAAGTGAAGATTGTGAACATACCATATTGTGTTTAAGCTCTCTGCCTCTGGATGAATGTTTTGATGGTTTCTCATATTCAACTGTTACAAACAGTGCTGTAATGGATAATACTTTTTCGATATCTGTGCAAAATTATGCAAGTATTTTTGTGAAATCAAAAATTAAATGGAGAATTGATGTCAAAACTTTACATAAATTTAAATTTAGTATATATTGCCAAATTGAGAGTTACTTACTAGTAATGTATTTATAATTTTTAAATATTACTGCATATAAAAAGGATGTGAGAATTTTTGTTTTATTGTTTATTTGTTTTCTTTTTTTTTTTATAATATATATTTTACTTATATTGTTGACATTATTACAGATGCCCCTATTTTCCCCTTTTTGCTCCATCCATCCAAACCCTGCCCTTCCTTCCCTCTGACCCCCTACTACATTGTCATCTGTGTCCATAGGGTAAAATAATCTTCCAAACTTTGGGGTCTGATTTTGTATTTATTTTTTAACTTATCTTTATTGTTTAATGTATTACAGATTTCCCCCCTCTTTTTCCCCATTGACCCTCTTCTCCTTATTTCTGCCCCCCTCCTGCCTTCCCCATACTATTGTCTATCCATTGGTTATGTATATATGCATAAAAGTTCTTTGGTTTATCTCTTCTCAGCACCCCTCTGCCCTTTAAGGTTCATCAGTCTAACAACCAATTTGTACTTCTTACCTTCAATTTTTTTTGCCCATCCTCCTAGTCCCCCTCCCAATCTGGCAACCAACAAAGAGTTTTCTGTATCTATGGTCTGTTTCTGTTTTTCTTTTTTCATTTTGTTTGTGGATTCAATCATATAGATGTGTATTGCCATTTTGTTGTTCATATTTTTTATCTTCTTCTTCAAGAAGACCCTGCAAATTTTCATATAATGCTGGTTTGGTGGTGATAACTCCTTGAGGTTTGTTTTTTTTTGTTTTGTTTTGTTTTTTCCAGTTTCAGGGAAACTCTTTATATTGCCATCAATTCTAAGTGGTTGTAGGTTCTTGATTTTTATCACTTTGAATATTTCTTGCCACTCACTTCTAGCCTGAAAAGTTTCATTTGAGAAATCAACTGACAGTCTTATGGAAGTTCCCTTGTAGGTAGATAACTGCTTTTCTTTTGCTGCTTTTAAGATTCTCTTTTTGACTTTAATCTTTTGCATTTTGATGATGATGAGTCTTGGTGTGGGCCTCTTTGGGTTTATCTTGTTTGGGTCTCTTTGTGCTACCTGAACTTGTATGCCTGTTTCCTTCACCAAGGTAGGGAAGCTTTCTATCATTATTTTTGCAAATAGGTTTTCAGTGTCTTGCTCTCACTCTTCTCCTTCTGGCAACCCCATGATGCAAACGTTGGTCTGCTCAAAGTTGTCCCAGAGGCTCCTTATATTATCTTCCTTTTTTAAAAATTCTTTTTTCTTTTTGCTGTTCTAATTGTGTGGTTTTTACTTCCTTGCATTCCAAATTAATGGTTTGCTTCTTGGCTTCACCTAATCTACTATAAATTATTCTTTATTTCAGTTAGTGCTTCCTTCATTTCTATTTGTGCACTTTTCATTTCTAAGTGGTCCTTTTTTATGCTTTTGATGTCCTAAGTTCCTTGAGTATCCTTATAACCAGTGTTTTGAACTCTGTATCTACTAGATTACCTATCTCTATTTTTTTTAGTTATTTCGCTGGAGTTTTGTTCTGTTATTTTATTTGGGATATGTTTCTTTGTCTCCACATTGTGGCTGCATCCTTGTGTTTGTTTCTATGTGTTAGGTAGAGTTGCTATGTCTCCTATGCTTCCTAGGGTGGCCTATTATAGTAGGTGTCCTGTAAGGTACTGTGGCACAGTCTTCCTGATTACCCTAGCTGTGACCTTGAGGTGCACCCCTCCTGTGTACTGTCTACCCTTTTGTTGTGATTGAGTCTTGATTACTGTTGGCACATCAGTGGGAGAGATTTACTCAGGCTGATCAGCTGCAAGGACTGGCTTTGCCCACTGACCACTGATCTCTGACTACCTTGGAGGATCAGCTGTGCAGGGCCCACCACATAGAGCAAGACTTACTTGAGCAGGAGTCTGGCACCCACTGAGTCTACTTTTTGAATGTTTCACTTGTGGAGTTGGTTAGATGGTGGTGTTTTGACATGATCTGAAGTTGCCAACTGGGTGTGCTGGCTCTGGGGCAAGCTTAGCCACTGCCTGTGTTCTACTTGGGGCAACTAGTCATAAGATATAAATAAATCTACAGATGGCTGCTTTTTATGTTGGTCTTGGAGGTGCCCAGGAAAAGCCAAGCTGTTTTTTATTTTTTTTATTTTATTTTTTATCCTCACCCGAGGACATTTTTCCATTTTTTGTTCAGGTAGAGTGGGAGGGAGAGAGAGGAACAGAGAGAGAGAGAGAAACATCGATGTGAAAGGAACACATCGAGTGGCTGCCACCCGCACGACCGACCAGGGCCAGGGACAAACTGCAACCGAGGTACGTGCCCTTAGCGGGAACTGAACCCGGGTCTCTCAGGACCGCAGGCCGACGCTCTAACCGCTGAGCCAAACCAGCCAGGGCAAAAGCCAAGCTGTGAACCAAGGCTGGCTGCCTCTAGTGTCAGGCCTGGGGCCACTTAGCAAGGAGATGCACAGCTTTAGACTATGTTGAAGAACCACCACGAACCACCTCTACAAACAGCCCACTCAAGGGGTAGATTCAACAGGCACCAAATCTCAGCTAAAATAAGCCCTGCTATTTGGGGTGGGCTTCTGCTCCGTTGATCCTCCATAGTGGTTGGACGTCAGTGGTCACAGGCAGTTCTTGCAGATTATCTTCTTGAGGGTAAATCCCTCCTGTTGACATAACAAGAGCAATCAACAGTCAATTGCAAGAGGAGGGGGTATACAGCCCACATGTGAGGTTAACCTCAAGTGCCCAGCCCAGTTGATTAGGGAGGCTGTGACACTGGACCCTATAATAGGACACCTACTACATTAGGCCACTCTACCATGCCTGGGAGACATAGCAGCTCTAATACATAGAAACAAATATAGGGAAGCAGCTAAAATAAGGAGACAAATAATAGTTTCCAAATAAAAGAACAGAAGAAATCTCCAGAATAAAGAACTAAATAATATGGAGGCAAATCAGCTGCCAGATAGAGTTCAAAACAATGATTATAAGAATGTTCAATGAACTTAATGAGGACCTCAACAGCATGAAAAATAATCAGTCAGAAATAAAAGATACATTAGCTCAACTGAAAAAAAATTTACAGGGAATCAACAATAGAGTATAAAAAACCAAGAGTAAAAACAGAAATTTGTAATATAAGGAATAAAAACGACACAATTAGAAGAGCAAAAAGAAAAAAAGGATTTTAAAAAATGAGGATAATGTAAGGAACCTCTGGGAAAACTTCCAGTGTACCAAGATTAACATCATGGGGGTGTCAAAAAGAGAAGTAACAGAGCAAGAGATTGAAAACCTAGTTAAAACAAAATAATAATGATGATGGAAAATTTCCCTAACCTTTAAAAGAAAATAAACATACAAGTTTCAGAAGCACAGAGAGCCCCAAGAAAGAAGGACCCAAACAGGCCCACACCAAGACACATAGTAATCCAATGCCAAAAATTAAAGACAAAGAGAGAATTCTAAAAGCAGCAAGAGATAAGTAACAGGTTACCTACAAAGAAACCCTCTTGCCCTGGCCGGTTTGGCTCAGCGGTTAGAGCGTCGGCCTGCGGTCCTGAGAGACCCGGGTTTGGTTCCCGCTAAGGGCGCGTACCTTGGTTGCAGATTGTCCCCGGCCCTGGTCGGTTGTGCGGGTGGCAGCCACTCGATGTGTTCCTTTCACATCGATGTTTCTCTCTCTCTCTGTTCCTCTCTCTCCCTCCCACTCTACCTGAACAAAAAATGGAAAAATGTCCTCGGGTGAGGATAAAAAAAAAACAAACAA